TATCCGGTTGAAACTAAGGGGTAAACTGAAACTTCATTTACTTCCTGTATTTTTCTTTTACAACAAGTATAGGATATAAGGGAGAATAATATAAGGCTGCAACAAAGCAGTAGCAAAATCTAAAATTGAAGCATGTTGGAAAAAACTAAATAATGAACATCATGCAGTGCCAAAAAAGCAGCTCCATTCATCTTTGATTGTTCCCTGTCACAATAACTGTAGTACTTATCTGGTTTGATGAAGGCTTCACAGTTTTCAGACTATATTTAAATCAATTGCACATGGTTTATTAATAAATGAGCTATATAAAATGAATGCTAAGGATTTTTATATATGAGAGGAGATCAATTCATTACTGTGTGCTATTGTCCATTACAAAGAATTAGTTGGTTATTGATTTCATTTTGGAGTGAATTATCTTAATGGTTAGAAGATCATTCTTATTAAAAGGAATGAACAAGAATAAAAGGAAGAGTCAGGCTTTGCTGAAAATTTAGTTAAATGCAAGTATATAGCCAAAGGAGAGGGTGTAAATAAGTCTTTATTAACGCAAGCAAGGGATGCATTTTTTGGAATGTGTAATATGTGATTTACAATAATGCTATGTTTTATATATATACAGTATCTCACAGAAGTGAGTACATTTTTGTAAATATTTTATTATATCATTTCATATGACGACACAAGAGAAATTACAATTTGCTACAATGTAAAGTAGTGAGTGTACAGCTTGTGCATCAGTGTACATTTGCTGTCCCCTCAAAATAACTCAACACACAGCCATTTCTACATACTGTTAGTGTTTTTAGATTATATAGTACTGTCGGGATATCTTAGTCATATTGTAGATGCACTATATCATTGTAGTCATTTGTTATATTTAGATGTTACCTAGCTGATGGTCTGGTTATCATTGTCTATACCCAGGGCTTGAAAAATCCACTTGTCCACTCGTCTGTGACGAGAGGATGGTGGAGCCCGACGAGCAGCTTCCCGGCCGGCTGTTGTAATTACACAGCCGGCCAGGAGCTTAACACAGTCAAGCGATCAAGCGTCTCTAGAGACGCTCGATCGCTTGTATTACCTGCATCTGTCACTGCCGTTGCCGGTCCCGAGATCCGCTGTGCCCGATGCAGCCGGGACTGGCACGGCTCTGTGACAGGAGATCAAAGGGAGTTCAGTATACGAACTCCCTTTGATCTCCTCTCAGTACCCGAATGCAGGAAGTGATGTATATTACATCACTTCCTGCATTCAGTGTCACTCTCCAGCTACAGAAGCTGATGAAGCCGATCTCTGCTTCATCAGCTTCTCTGGTGGTCCCTAGGTGACATTAGGGGTCTTGGAGACCCCTGATGTCTCCATAAAGAGGACCTGTCATGTAAATTGGCTAGGGGGATTCTTAGCCCCCCATGTAATAGCAATAAAGATGTGTGTAAAAAAAAAAAGTAATACAACAATTAAAGAATCATAAAAAAAATAAAGAAGCATAAAAAATAAAAGAAAAAAGAAAACATTTTTTTTAAGTCCCTGCCCCCCACATACACACGCAGATATGCGTCGGGTGCGCCTACGTGCGAAAACGACGATTGCGCCTATTGTGAAGCACATGTTACATATCGCCGCGAACGTCGCAGTGAGAGCAATAAGTCTAGGGCCATCAATCACTGATAACACTAAACTGATGAGCGGTAAAATCATT